GACCGGTGTCTAGCCGAACAATCAATACAAATAAAAATGCCAAAACTGACACTAGCCCAGGACGGATTTTTAGCTCCACAATCAAAACATTGCTATAAAAAGTAAATGAAACCAAATAAGTGATACATCATCACACAAGAAAAGAGTAAACAATTGTACAGACCTTGTTTGCAGGGATATTCTTCAATTTATTGAAAATAGTTAATAACTCGTTCTTTGTTGGTTTGTTGTCAGACATTCTAGTACACTTAATAGATCAACTTGTATGAGAAAGGCTTTCGGAATTCAATCAATTTAACTGAGAATTACAATCAAATTAAAAGAAACAAAATTTCAACATGAAAAGAATCGTTAACAAAACGAACCACCAGATGGCGTCGGTACATCGACGTTTCTATGGAAATTTTTTCTGAATTTAATCAATAACAATCTAATCAAATCAATAACAATTATTTCACTCAACTAAATTGTTCTAGTTTCTTTTATGTAGCTTTGTGTTTTTCAACTCACAATTGTGTCTTCATTTCTTAGCTTTATTTACACAACTATGAATACAAAAAAGGTAAGATAATTTCCCTACTATTTTTTTTTCATTTTCTCAAGAGTTTGATTATGTTTCACTTTGTTTCATTATTCTCACAAGAAATTGATTCTTCACTCGGATTTTGAGGTCATTAAAACAACAGAGGATGGAAAATGTGACAAACTTAAAAGCGAAAATCATCAAATGAATGTTAAAGGCTCTCTCGGAGTCTCTCATTCATCAAGTCAAGATGAAAGAGCTGAAAGTTTACAATCGATCACATATAAGATCGATATGATAGCTGATCAATTGAAAACATCCGATGATAACGAAAGAAAAAACATTGATATGTCAATCAATGGAGATAATTCTATATATAATAGTGATTCAGCTAATTCAACAAGCACTTTGCTAGCCTCAAGAGATGAGAAAGAGAAATTAAATTTCAACGAAAAAGATTTAGCACCACCTCTTTTGGATTCGCAACGGAGGAAAAAGATACCAGAGCGGCCAAGCCAAAGTTTAAATCTGTGGTCATTTTTAAAGAAATGTATTGGTAAAGAGTTGACGAAAATTCCTATGCCTGTTAACTTTAATGAGCCTCTGTCAATGTTACAACGATTAACCGAAGACTTTGACTATGCTCATTTACTCCATAAAGCAGCAACAATCAGCGATAGTTGTGATCAATTAGTTTATGTCGCTGCATTTTGTGTCTCCAGTTATGCATGTACAGGTATCAGACTGAACAAACCATTTAATCCTCTTCTAGGAGAAACTTATGAATGTGATAGAACATCTGATTTGGGATGGAAGAGTATAACCGAGCAGGTAAGAATCGAATAAGCAAATGAATGGATGATTGTGAATACTAATTGTGTTTTGTTATCATCAACAGGTGAGCCACCACCCCCCTATGTTAGCACTTCATTGTGAAGGTAAAGGTTGGAAATGTTGGAGTGAATTTGGTTTATCAAGTAAATTTCGAGGAAAATATTTACAAGTGAATCCAGTGGACATAAGTCACCTCGAGTTTCCAGAGCATGGTTATCATTATACTTGGCACAAAGTCACTACAACCATTCACAACATTATCGTTGGTAAACTTTGGGTGGATAATCATGGAGATATGGTGATTACTAATCACACAACTGGTGATAGATGCCTCTTGAAATTCATACCTTATAGTTACTTTTCACGAGATATTCCTAGAAAGGTAACGATCGAGATCAAGAAACTCTTCATCTTTTTCAGATTCTTTGTAATCAATTTCAACTCGTCTACAGGTGACTGGTAAGATTGTAGATTCGAAAGGAGTAACAAAATGGATTATTCAAGGAATTTGGGACGAATATATTGAGTCCGCACTAGTTTTCGATAAACGAACATCAGCCAAAGGAAAATCAATCTACGATACATCTCCATTCGTTCGTGTCTGGCAGAAAACTCGCAATATGTTCGTAATGAATCAACCATTGTATCCGGATAACTATTAATGTCGAAATGATGTTTACTTTTCAGGTCTGAATGCGAAAAAATGTATAATTTAACTGCTTTAGCTGTTCAATTGAATGAACCAGAAGAAGGAGTAGCTCCAACCGATAGTCGACTCAGACCAGATCAACGATTAATGGAAGAAGGTAAATGGGATGAGGCTAATCAAGTGAAAGGATTACTGGAAGAAAAACAAAGATCGACCCGGAGAAAGAGAGAGGAAGAAGCTGCTACTAATCCAGAAGCTGAAGTTTCTTATGCACCATCTTGGTTCAAGCTTCAAATCGACCCGATTACGAATAATCCAGTCCATGTTTATAACGGTGATTATTGGCAGTGCAAACAGAAACAAGATTGGTCTCGGTGTCCAGTGATATTTAATTGTGATAAAGAAAATGACTTAAAGTCAGTATCAGCAATAGGAAAAGTTTAATGGGATATTTTACTTCGTGTGCCCATCGATGATTCACCTATTCAACTAAGAGACTTAATCAATTATTATCATGATTGATAATTTCCATTATTTTCGGATGAGCTCAGGAAATAGACTCCAGAGATTTAAACTCCAGAAGAAGCTCTAAAGTTCTATATTTTATTATCAATATTTACTTTTATATCTCTTTTAATAACTTTGACAAAAGATGCTTAAAAGTAATTGAATGGTACCATTTAAATAGTACTTTATTCATGTCATTGCTGCAATTGAAATTAGATTTAACTTTACTTCAAGTCAAAAAAAACAAATGAATCACTTGTAGATCTGAATGCCAAATTACTCAATTGTACACATTCGCTCATTTCCAAGCTGAAGACTGAGATTAAAGTAAATTATTTTGCCAAAATACAGCGCAATCATCCCAACGAGCTGATCATCAAATCAACAATAGTTTGAAACTGTCGATGTTTCTTTCATTGCCAGTCTCTATGAGGATCGATTAGGTAGACGAGATTGCAACTGGAAAATCTGACAAAAAGATGGAGAATGTAATGAGAACAAGTTTCAAGATTTTAATATGGCACAGTGGGATAATAGTTCAGAATAGAATGAAATGTAATCATTACATCATAGAGATTCCCACTTTTTTTCATCATCTTATTCAATAATAGTGACGTGAAGAACATTATCACTTACTTTTCCATTCTTACACCTTGATAACTTGAAGAAACATAATAAATCAAGGAGCCAACCCTTTAAGCGGTAGAGGTTTTTTAATGGTCCATCCTGTTGGGTAAAATCGAAAGAGATGAGTGTAAATTTGAATTCAATAAAACCATTAGATTGGAAAGAAGAAAAAGAATCAGAAAAGAGGGTCTCAATCAATAAGAATTCATGAGTAGCAAATACTCTTTCAAGTCGCATCATTTGAGTCAAACAAACAAAAGTATTGAAAATAAATCACTTACCTTAAGGTAGAATCGTTCAAATGAACTGAAAGAGTTCTCATCACCTCGTGATCATATCTACACATTTGGAGAATTGGAATAAATGAAAAAGATTAGACCAAGTAAAGTCAACATAAAATCTGAATAAATGGAACATTAGTCAGATAAGTTAGAGTTTCAATCACTTAGAGTCATGAGTAGCAAATACTCAATAAAGTCACATCACGATTGTCTATTGTTTCATTAAAGTAAAATAGAAATTTACTTACCCAATTAACTAGGAATTCATGAATTACCATTGACGAGCATTGGCTGAATTGAGGAACCATGAGGAGAGAAATGAACAAACTTTAAGTCGGATATCCGAGATTCTTCAGTGGAAGTGTCGCCATCTAGTGGAAAGAAAACAATAAATTGGATGAACCAGATGATCTCAAGTCTCAAATTAAGTCTCAATTGTTTCCTTAGTTGTTTGATTAGTATTATCAACATTTCTGTTTCTCAACCATCATGAGTTTCATGCAAAAATTGAAGTTGAAAAACATTCCCACGTGTAACAAACAGTTCATTTTCTTAGGCGTTAAAGAAGACAAAGTAAGACTCATTTAGTAAAATTCAATATTTTCCTTAAACTAATGTTCCAATTTTCTCTTGATTTGATTGTTAGCGAATCGATGGGCGAAGCTCAAAAGATTTTCGTAAATTATCTATTGAATTCGGATTAGACTATGGATCATCTGTTGTCAACCTTGGCGATACACGTGTTATGTGTAACATTGGCTATCAAATTGCAGAGCCAAAGGCAACTAAAAGTTGTGAAGGATTTTTGAACATTAAGGTTGATTTAGCTGCTACGATGGCTCATTCTCATGAGAAATCTGTGGAAATCATGAAAATAGTTGAAAAGAATATAAAAGAATCTAGATGTCTAGATCTGGAATCCTTGTGTCTGATCTCTGGGGAAAAAGTCTATTTGTTAGAAGCAGATTTAATTGTCATGAACGATGAAGGAAATCTCCCTGAATGCTGTTCCATTGCTATTCTGGCCTCTTTGTCGCACTTCAAAAGACCCGATGTTTCAGTCATTGATGATAAAATCAAAGTTCATTCGTTTACTGACCGTCATCCGATTCCAATCAACATTCTCCATTATCCTTTTTGCACAAGCTTCACGTTTTTCGAGTACTTTAAATTTGTTTGTGATCCAACACAAGCGGAAGAACAAGTTTCCGATGGACATTTGATTGTTGGAGCAAATAATTACAGAGAAATAACAACAATTCACATTTCAGGCAAATCGTCGATCAACAAAGATATTGTCATTAAGTGTTGCCAATTAGCAATTGAAAGGAGTAAATATTTAACCAATTTCGTGAAAGATGCTGTCGAAAGAGATTTAGCTCAAAGAAATAGTGGAATCGGTTTGAGAAATTTGATTAACTCCTGAAAACTGAATTGATTTGAAAATAAACAAAAAATTATAATGTCAAGAGTTTAATTATAAAAAGATTTGAATACAATGAGCATGTGAATCCATTTTGTAATGTGATCAACTATTTATCTTAATGGGAACATTTAAAGAATGAAATTCGAGTATCGGTTGATTGTGTAATTTAAATTCATTTATTTCAATTGGTATCAACAGATTAACTATCGAAAAGGTTTGATTGGCAGAAGAAAATGAACTCGCTTGATTTGATTAGAATTTCGATCAAAGGAAAAATGAGACAATTGAAGGCTTGATTTTCGTTCTCAATGATCGTTCATCGATCCAAATTGATTAGTAAAGAAAAAAGAGAAAGTAATATTACAATTGGATTGATAATAATGACAGTTGATTGGGTGAACAAAATTAACCCTCGAAAATGACCACAAAATGTAAGTTAATTGGTAATTGCAGCGACTAATTGTTATTATATTGATGCATATTAGTTTCTATTGGTATTGTTTGTATAATAGTATTTGTGTCCACCGGTCATATGTACATTCAGGTACTCCAAGTATTATGGCTCGAGTTTGGATCGTCTCAGACACTCAGTTGGAATAGCATAAGCAATGTCTTTGATATTGGCGACGTCCGCTCTCAGTTGTTCAAGTTCTTCGCGATAATTGGTCAACATGCCTGACAGGTCATCTCGCGACTTTCTCAACTCTTCTGTTCGATTGTTCAAATCAGCAGTCAGCAATTCCTTCTCGGCTTCCCGCAGTTTCACCTCCAATTCTTTCATGTTTCCACCGTCGACAGAGTCCAAACCCTCCAGAGTTTTTATTATTGAATCAACAGTTTGCAGTGCACCAGACACTTTGCTTTTCGCCTCGATGGCACTAGTCTTGGCTTGGTTAGCTCTTTCTAAAGCTTCTAAAGCCAATTTCTCGTCGTTGACAGTCTGTTCACCATATGAGTTGAGTCGACCTTCGGTATCGGCTAGAGCCCTGTTCAATGATTCCACCTCGTCTTTCATTCTTCCCGCTCTCTCCTTTGTTTTACCTGCTTCCCCACGAATCGCATTTGCATCAGCGGAAGCATTACCAGCGATGTAACGAGCCTCGGTTGCAATACTCTGAGCGTTTATCGCGTCATTGTAAGCCCCAGTGAGAGCATCAAAAGCCTCCTGTGTCTTGGCTTTGCCTTCGTTCAAAAGCTTTTCCACCTGTGGTACTCGCTTCAGTGCTTCATCTGCTCGTCCTTGACTTTCTTTCACTGACTTATCGAACCCTCGAAGTGTCATCAAAGTTCCAGTGGCTTCCGTCAAAGTGGAATTGGCTGCCTGAGCTGCTTTCTCTGCAGTTTTATGAGCTTTGTCCACTTCGCTCAACAACTCGGAAGCTTTGTTCTGTTGCCTGGTTGCCTCTTTCAGAAGAGATCGAACATCCTCCATTTGGATCTGTGTTCCATTCAGTACATTCTCGTATCGTGACATCATCGCATCCGCTTCTCTCATGATACGAGCCGCCTGATCGACCAACTCTCTGGCATCTTGTTTCATGCCCGAGGCGTTCACATTTGGAATACTCAATGAGCCCGCTTCGGTCAACAATTGTAGCGCATCTTTGGCAGCTCGATCAGCTTCTTTCTTTGCTTCTTCTGCCATTTTCCTTGTTCGTTCCAATAAATCGTTGATATCGATCAATTGTTTCTGAATGGCCCGAATCTCTTCACGATTACTCGAATGCATCACCATGGCTTCTTTCACCAATCGAGACGCTTCTTCTGAGTTGTTCAAAGCTTCTTTCGCCAACTTTTCCACCTTTTCAGCTTCTTTTTCAATCTTATCTGCTAGAGCAACCGATTCCAATGATATTCTGGACATTCGTTCAGACTGCTGTCCGTACCTTTTGAACCTTTCGCGAGCATGTTCCAAGGCAGTTCTTCCTTCATGATCGAATGTCTTTTTAGCTTCAGATAATATTAAATTGGCTTTTTCAATTATATCTTCTGCTAAACTCATGTTTTGCTTTCCAAAATTGACCAAGTTGTTCAACCCTTCCATCCGACCGTCAACCAACGAGGTCAATTCTTTGACTCGGGCTAAACGGTTCTTTAAAGTGGTCAAAGAATTGACAAGGTTTCGACCATCTGAGCCCATTCGACGAGCATCCGATACCAGTGCCTCAGTGCGAGCGATCAATTCTTCCAATTGTGTTTCGAACTTTGATCTTCCACTTCCACAGGGCTGTTTTGTATCTCCTCCAGTAATAATCGCAACTGGTTCAGTTTACCTCGGTGCCCATTCACAGAGTCCTGGATTAGTCCGTAGCAAGCTGGACAGTCTATACAACCAGCAGTTCGGTTGAACTTGTTTTCACGACACCGCTCACATCGACGGCCTTCCACGTTTGCCAAACACTCACATTGACCATTATCGCGACACTGCAGAGATTTTGATCCAATTCGATCACAGTCACACTTTGCACATCCCTTCTCAGAGAAACCATAATGATAAGGTGCACATTGGTCACACTTAGTTCCAATGACCCCAGGTCGACAGTAGCATTTGCCGGTGAACTGATCGCAGGTCAGATTATGTGATCCAAACATATTACAACCACAGGATTGGCAACCATTCTCACCACTGATATCCCAATAGCCTTGTATGCACTGGTCACACTTTCGTCCCATCACATAGTTTTTACACTCGCAGTGTCCACTGCGAGAGTCACAAAGAGCCAATTCTTTTCCATCTTCTCCCTTGCCCATCACTGTTCCAGTTCTATGGCAACCACAAGATTTACAATCTCCCTTAGGGTAACTCAGAGCATCACCAAAGAAACCGGGAAGACATTTCTCACATCGATCCTAATGGGAAGTGAAAAGAAAACAAATTCATCAATAAAGTGATTCCATTCGAAACTCATTCACTTCGACTCTTACCCCGGCAGTGTTGTAAATGCATTTCAAACACTTTCCCGTTTCATGGTCACAACTTCCGACAGAGTTTTCATCAATGTTCCCACTGCAATCGCATTTCCTGCAAGAACTGTTTGCTATCGGGTTACCAAAATAACCATCGATACAAGACTCACAGAGGGCTCCTGATTACAAAGATCGAGAAACAAACAATTAGTTTAAACCCAGTGAATAGCGACCGAGATTATCATTAGCACATGCAACCTAACGTCGAGTTAGTCACCCTTGAGAAAGAGTTTCTCATGTTAGCAAATCTTTCACTCTCTTCTTAGTTGCTGATGATTTTAATCATCCATGCAAATACTTATCCATGAATCAATTAACTGTCTCAATTCAGCTCATCACTGATCATTACCTCCGTAACCTTGAGGACACTCCAAACAAGCTATACTTTCATCAGGTAAGACAACACAAGCTCCCGCATTACGGTGACAGGGACAAGAAGTACATCCAGTCCCGTCTAATGGATTACCGTAATAGCCTCGAGCACAAGTCTCACAATTATCACCACCGGTGTTGTTTGTACACATACATTTTCCTTTACAAATTAACCATCACCATGAATTAATTAGAAACCACCACCAATATCAAGTTAAGTTTGGTTAGAGATTGCAAATGGGAAGTGGGAGTGGGAGTGGGAGTGGGCGTGGATGGGGAATAGGAATAGGAGGAAGAAAAGAAAGTAAGAAAATTGATTGTTAAAGTTACCGTCACCAAAGACCAGAATCAGTATCAAACCGGTGATTTTCCTTCACCTTGTTCACTCTCTTTACCTGTATATGGATCACAAAAGTCAGCGTAGCCATTACATTGACAAGGTAGACAAACCGCGAAACTTCCCCCGCCCGGTGGTTCGTGTCGATATCCCGTCTTACATGACTCACAAAACTGTCCATCATAACCTGCTGGACACTCACATCGCTCGACCCAACTTGCTGCTCGACCATATGCACCCCGTTGGGCAGATTCCAGGGCTATTTCATCAACATAACCTGACCCATCTCTATTGTACACAATGCGAATCTTGATGGACGTTAAATTGGCCAAAACACTTATGAAATCTTTCCCAGACAGCCTCGGACTCCAGCCGAATCGAGCGTCTTCGTGAAGTCTAAACGAGTAAGAACGTTGGTTTCGACTTGGAAGACTATTGTCTTGACCGTGTATTGGTTGAGCAAGGGTCAATCCAGCGCCTTCAATAATGACATCGGCAAATTGTGAGGCTGGAGAATCGTCGTTCACTCTTAAATTGAATCTCAAGTGTTGATTGTAAGAGAAACGCTGATCCCCAAGGAAAGATGGAGGAGCAACCAAATAAACCGCGTCCAATCCATAACTTGCTTGAGAGCCGATACTATGATCTGATGTATTGTGTACGAGTGCAACAGAACGACCCATTCTATCAATCGCCGTCCATTTCTCGGTATCTTTGTAGAAATAAGATTCAATTGCATGGGCAGTGTAATCTTCCGCCGATTCGCAAACAGATGAGTGGCCGTAACAAAAGCAAGATAAACATCCAAATTCGTTGGTTCCTTGCAAATCGAAGTAACCAGGCTTACACTTTTCACAAGTTCTTCCTTCCACATTCTGTTTACATAAACATTCCCCAGAGACAGGGTGACATCGAGCGGTGTTGTTGAAACTTCCTTGTACAAAGCAGTCGCAGGGTCTGACGGGCAAATAAAAGGTTAGTTAAATATCTTGGGAAAATGATCCACTAGAAATACTCACTTGCAACCCTGGGCCGAAAAGTCGTAATAGTTATCAGCACAACGATCGCATTTTTCCCCAGAAACTCCTGGTCTACAGATACATTGACCATCTCGACTGCACTGCGATGTCACGGACCCTTAACGAATGAAAATGCCAATAAAACAATCGAATCCATATAAATACTATTTCATTGACTTACCTGTTGGATCGCAGTCACAGGTAACACATCGTCCCAGATTATTTTCGTAAAAACCTTCCTTGCATCTTTCACAGTTTGGTCCATCGGTGTTGTCGGCACAGTCAACATCGACCTCCGTGTCCAGTTTCAGCCCACAAATCAGCATCGTAAACGCATTTCGAGGCTTTATTGTTACAATTACAAACTGAAATATAAAACACAAGTTAGAAGAGAAAACAGAGAAAGGGGAACAATTAAAGAAACTAAATGGTATTACATTCCCAGACTGACTTCTTAGTGTTCCACACTTCAAGTTGCACGCACTCAACAAGTACGGCGCTTGACGCAAAAATAAATATCAAGGAAAGTATCGTTTGCATGGTAGAAACTCAGATGTTCCTCTTATCACTTATTCAGTGTAGTTGGGGCACAGTAATACAAAATTGAAGCGATTCTCGGACCATTTACAGGTCAAATAATCATGTTACACTTGATGCGACGATGATCGTTACTCTAGGCGCCCTTAGTCAACAGATTCTTAACTTTATTTGGTCACTGGACTACAAGTCAAACGATTGTGAATAGCAAAGCAACAAAAACTGGATTTCATGTTAGTTTTGTCTCTTCTATTAACGGAGAAAAGGTATAACCTGTACCGCAACTTTTACTGACAAAAGTGCGTAGGCATCAATTCAGCCCACTTTAGTTGTCTTATCTCGATACCAAAACAACAACAGGTATCATGATATTTTCTACTTACGTTGACATTCGTGTGCGTCCTCAAAAGTAGCAACTTCATATTTCTGATCGTTATACAGATCGTGACAACGTTCACAATTGACTCCAGTCGTGTTGTGTTCACAAATACACATCAATTGGCTGTAGGGATCATTTATATCAGAGGTTCTGCAGTCACTCGCATGTCCATTACATTTGCATCTACAGGTCGAGAAAAAGGTCGAGAAAAAGGTCAATGAGAATGGAATCAATGATATTAATCAGATATTCGCTCGCTCAACAGATGAGTAGATTCCTGGTATCACTTCATATTCATTTGTTACATTTTAACTGTAATTTTCAAGGTCACTAATCATGTTCACTAGTTTGAAGATAAAGCGAGAGAGAACAGCTCATCTTTGCCTCGTCATCTTCTCATCTTCTCATCAACATCAATAGACAAGTCAACGAATTTGATTCGCAATCAGAAATTCTCAGATAAACATTGAAATCAGCTTTTTCTCTCATTAAACTGTAAAATTTTCTGTCTTAAAGGCGTCAGTTGAGACTATTTTTGGAACCAACCAATAGATCAACACCCATAACTATTTAAGTCTCGATAGTTTTCGATAAAATGGTTATCCAGAGGGAGAAAGAAGAGGAAAGTAGGATGGGTGAGTAGTTTAAGAAAAAACAGATAACTTTTAGAGAAAAATGCGTTTGAGATGATCTTTGTTTCTCTCTTTCCTCTTTAACTACTAACTGATCACTCCCTTTGCCAGAGATCACTGTGTCTTCTTTCATTCTTCATCATCACAACCACTGCTCTCGAATCATCACCAATATCTATCAAAGTCCACAAGAGGTAAGAGCAAAGAGTGCGAGAGAGAGAAAACAGGAGAGAAAGAGAGCGAGGGCGAGAAAGACAATGGTAATGTTTCGGTTATCCTTTTGGTTCATGTGTTTCAATCTCTTCGACTCTTTAATCGGTCTACTAATCCATCTTTATCTCATCTCCATGACTTGATCTTTGCAGGATGAAAAAGAAAGAAGGAAAGCTGAAGTGCGAGCTCGTCTCGAAGCTCAAGCTCGAAAGAAACGCGGTTTCATGACCCCCGAAAGGAAAAAGCGACTGAGGGTAAGTAAACATTGACACTTTCACTTGAATCTTGAACTAGAGTTAAATTACTGTTGAAAGTTTTTTCTTATTCCACTTGTAACCCAAACAACGTCTTCAGAATTTACTTCGACGTAAGGCAGCGGAAGCGCTGAAAAGGGAGCAAGAAAGAAAAGCTGAAGAGAGACGAAGGATCATCCGAGAACGCACTGGAGCCCAGAAAAATTTCGATTCGGTCAACGAAGGTAATTAGTGTTACACTTTGCGATTTACGAGCTTTCCTCATTTCTGTTTGATTCTCAATCTCAAGCTAATCTTCAATCAATCGTGAAAGATTATTATAAAAGAATTCAGGACTTGGAAAGTAAAAAGTGGGACTTGGAAAGGGCCACTCGAGTGAAAGAAATCGAGGTTAGTAGTGAGATTGAACAATAACCATTAATCGATTGGCTCTTTTTCCAATTGTTCATCATTGTTTTCAGCTTAAAGAAATGCAGGAAAAAGTAAACGATCTGAAGGGCAAATTGTAAGTATTCACACAAAATCTCAATTCTGTTGCTTTTCTTTTCTTTTCAATGTCTGTGTCTTTCACTTGGTCAGTGTCATTCCTCCGTTGAAAAAAGTGTCGAAAACTGCGAATCAGTAAGTTAAACTGTCACACAATTGTCTCCACTCGATGCAACCATTAAAGATCTTAATCTTGACTTCGTTTTCTTATTCTTAGATTAGAGAAAATTCGTATGTTTACTGCTCGAGTTTCTCAGATGGATTATCGTAATCAATTGAAACAAGTTCAGAAAAATGATTATCGTCTCGAGGATAACGACGAGGTCGCCAGCAAGACATGCAAACCTGAATGGGCTCAACCCAAAAGCAAAACAACATCGGTATCTGAGGCCATTTCTGAGGCTGTTTCTGAGGCCGAGCAAGATGATTACTAAGTTTTCAACAAGACTGGACATTACGCACTAAGTGTATCTCGCTGCAATCTCGCAACGAAAACAATCATTGTAATCAACATGATAAAATATTGATTAGTTAATAAACAGATTGTTTCGTCCAATCATTGATTACGTTTCTATTTGATTGATTGATTGATTGAATTGATGAGACTTACCTTCCACCAACCGACAGGTCAGAAATTGCATAGTAATACGTTTTAAGTACTTGTGGGTCTCGAAAAACTTCATCACCAAACGTATTATGTCTCACCATGACAACTTTTATATCGGTGGCAGCGACGAATTTCTGTTGGGAGGAAGCGATCGAAAATTGAGCGATAAACAGCATCGAAGAAATTACTGTTATGTTCTAAAGTTTTTTACCTGCAATTCCAAGTTTTGATCGAATCTTTTATGACTTGGCCTGAGCTCTAGAGTGCTGAAAATAATATTCCCACCAGTGAGAGGAGAAATGTCCGAGAATTCTTTGGAGCACAAAACTTTGTCCGGCTGAGAATCGGGGACTTCTCTCGATTCACTGACATTGAATGTATCCAAACAGTTTCCACTGAAATACTGGAAAGGCACCCAATCGCTTTTCTCGTCCTCTCTTTTGTAAATAGCCAGACTTTCAGGTCGAGGGGAATTGAACAACAGTCGAATATATGTAACATCATAAGATTTACCTGTTTTCGACCAATTAGATTACGATGGTCCATTAATCTCTCTCGTTGATTAATAATCAATTTAGTGAATTGAATGGACTCACCCAAATGAAGTGTAATATTAACTGTTTTCGGGAACTCGATCCCATCGTACATGGTTTCACTTTGCCACCAGGTCTGAGTTGCATTATCGTGAAAATCATTGATGAAGTTTACAGGGTGATCACCTCGACGACACTTACCATCACAGGTTCTCTGGTTTCTGTCCTCTCGATTAGGTGTTTGAACACAATAATAAGTAATGTAAGGATGCTTTTCACCACATGTATTTGTAGCTTCAACGGGCCTTAGGTAGGCAGCGTTTTCAAACGGAGGAACACAGCGCCGAGCCTTACCCTGTTCATCGTAACAAGACCTTTGAGCGGCATTGGACGAGGGGAACGGGTTAAGTGGATCGGTAAAGGCGAAAGACGAGCCTG